TCCCGGGTGGCCCGCGAAGAAATGGTTCAACCTGGATCGGAACCTCCCATTTCGGTCCCCCCTATCCCTCCTTCCTTCTAGACCCCCAACTGGTTTTTCCTCCCTTGCTTGGTCGAGGCAGGCGTTGGGCCTCCGGTAGGCGAGGAAAATTAACGGCCCCTGCAGTTGCAGTGCTGGAAACCCTCGGGCGGCGGCGGCCGGCGGCGCTTCGTTGCGGGCGCTGGAAGCCCAGGGTTTCTGGGGGAGCCCCGGAACATAGCCGAGGATCGCAAAGCGCGCGCGCAGCGTGGGGAGCCCGCGGGCCCCCGACGCGCCCGGGTCCCCGGCTCCTCGCCATTCGCGATCGGCGCCCTGGACGCGCCGCCTGGGTCGGGCTCGGAGGCGGCGGGCTGCGCGCGGACCTGGGAGCAGGGAGGGTCGGCGGAGGCTGCCGGCGGCCGGCGGGTTCGGGCACTAATCCCTGCCTCTCTCTCTCCCGGTCTCCTATCTGCCGCGTCTGCTCCTCCCTCCGCCCCCCGGAAGCAGGAGAGGACCGGCCCCGAAGCGGAGCAGCAGCCGCCCTCTGACCATGCCCCGGTGAGCGGGGCGGACTTCGAGGGCAACTTGGCGCCGACTGCCTGGGCTCGGCCGGCGAGCTGCGAGCTGCCGGGGCCCCGAAAGCCGAGGAGCAGCGCGGCCCGGCGGGGGGCTCTCGTCTATGCCTTCTTGGGGCGCCCGGCGGATCGGGGTCTGGTTTTTGCAGACGGAGCCCAGCGCTGGTGGCTTCAGGTGGCTGCCGCCGCCTCTGCTGGGCTTGCTTCCGCCGCTCGGGCCAGGAGCAGAGACCTTTGAGCGGGGACACCTCCGGGGCAGCGAGACATCGGACATGTGTCAGCACACCTGGGGCGCGCATCCATTGAGCCCGAGGGGATTTTTGCCTGAACAAGTCAAGCGGCGATATTGATCTTGGGGGTGACTGTCCCTTGACCGGCTGTCCGGTGGGAGTGCGAGTGTGCACTCGCCCAGAAGTGTGTGAGTGTGTGGATGTGTGTGTGCCGTGTCGGGCTCCCCCCCGCCCCCCGTTTTCCCGTCGAGTGATGCACTTGGAATGAGAATCAGAGGATGGAAATAGTCTGGGAGGTGCTTTTTCTTCTTCAAGCCAATTTCATCGTCTGCATATCAGGTATGGGGCGCGCCGGAGTCGCGGGCGGGTTGGTGGTGTGTCGTGTTTGGAATGTATGGGGTCGTATCCTGTGCAAGACACTCAGGTGGCCTCTCGGGGTGGGATGCGGGGAGGGTGGTGGCAGAGACCTGCTCAGCTCTGCGGGTTTGCTGCCTTCCGAATTAAAAACCTTCTGAACCCAAGGATGGGTGTGTGTGTGTGTGTGTGTGTGTGTGTGTGTCCGTTGGGGTAGTATCCGTGTGGAGTTCTGGAACGTACAAGGGGTGGGGGATGAGAAAGGAGAGACAGATGGGTGTTGATTTTCAAGGCTTTTTGGCTGAGAACTCTGGCGCCGAAATCTGAGCCTTAGCAACCCCCACCCCCAACCCCAGGCTTTCAAAGTTCCCAAACTTGGTGGCTCCGGCTGGCAAAATGGACGCGGAGCCCTGCCCTGGGTATCCAAGCACTTTCAAGAGACTGCGGGAAGATGCGGGAGTGGAGAATATTCATCAGGGACCAGAGGGATGTGGAGGTCCTCCATTCCTTCCCCAAACCCATCAGGCCCAGTGGTGATGGTCTGAAACATCCTAGCCCGCCCCCCTCTCCCTCCCCACCCCCCCCAATAAAAGCAAACCCCATCAGAAACAATACAGCATCATAGATGCCACTTTAAATTACGGTCCTTTGGAATGCCCAGTGGCAGGGGTGTGCTGGCTCAGACTCACTGACCTCAGGCTACTTGTGCCAGTGTTTGGTTTTAGCAGCGGATGGCAAGCCAGTTGCAGGGGAATGAGGTAGGGCTAGTGCCTGCCTGCACCTGTGTGTCTCTGTGTTGGAAGGGATTCTGATTTCCAAGCAATGTCTTCGTTGGTGCAGGGCGTCGGAGGTTTGGAGGGGACCTGTGAGAAAAGCCTCAGCATCAGCAGTGTTCCCCAATTTAGTGCCTCCTCCCATTGATGGTGTCCACCCCATTTCCCTTCACACCTGTCATTTAGGTGCCCAGGGTAAGGCCCATTTGCAGCGCTCCCCTCTGCCTGCATTCCCTCTGCAGAATTGGGGACTCAGCCAACTTCCCATGAAGTCACCAGAAGCGGAGAGCAGGAACCCTGCCCCTGTGAGCAGGCACATTTGAGCATCATTGGGGAACAGGGACATGCTTCCTGCATCTTCCTTCAGTCCAGCCAATCCCCACCCTCTGATTCTGGATATTAAAAACCCTTGTCTGCCCTTACATTGGACCCAGATCCAAAGACCGTTATTCAGTTTCAATGTTCTCTTCATAGAACAGGAATAGGAAATCTTTCATTCAAAATTATTCTCTTTGGGGCTTGGCCACCCTACTAAGAAATTAGAGATATACTGTGGGCCTGGCAGATGATAAACAGTGCCCTGCAATCCTCTAGTGGGACCTCTTTTTCCCCATCCTACATCTAAGGGAAAATTCCTAGGTTAGGTGACTTGTAAAGGTTTATATCAGTCATATATCCAGGAATGAACTGGGTAGCATCTCACAAGGCCACATTTTGCATCTTTCTCTTCTACATGTCTATTTCAACCTCTCTCTCTCTCTCTCTCTCTCTCATTCTCATTCCATATTTCACTGGTTATGAAATGCCCTTTCCCTACCTCTCTCCAGCATCATAAATAATTTTCATATGAGACGCGCCATCTGAGTCCCTTTAAGATTTACAAAGGGTTAACATCATTGAGGCTCCACCCCCAGCATCCTTTATTTCCAGTCCCTGCATTTGGTCAGGCCATCGCAGGAGACCCAGCTGAGAATGGGTCTGTTCTTAGCCTCCCATCAATGGGATACCTGTCACAGCTATACTTGGTTTGGTGTATCAGCAACTACATTATATAAATAGAAGCATTAGGAGGAGGTTATTTCCAACCCAGGAGGGGTGCCATGGAGTACAAGGCCTTTCACATGTGTTTACTAAGTAATCGTCATTGCTAAGTAATGAGGGGATAAAAGTGTAAGCGAAATTGCTAGCTATTAGCTAAACACAGAAAACTAGGTTAGCGTTGCAAATGCCTCGTTAGGATCTGCACTAATTTGCCCTTTATGAAGACATTTAGGCAGAGATGCACCATTATGGACTCTCTATTTACACATCCATACACTTAACTTCAAAAGGCGATTTCTTCCAGGGTCCAGGTGGTTTTCGCCCTCCATAAACAGAACGACTCACTCAGTCAGTGATGTCCCTGTATGTCACAGGTCTGAATAGGAACATAATTATGACTCACAGTTCAGGGGACTTTGTTTTTTGTGGGGGTTTTTTGTTTGTTTTGTTTTGTTTATTTTTCCCATCTGGCAGCTTTAACAGGTGCAGGAACGCAATGCATTAAGGTTGAGTAACTGTCTCAGGAGCATTTAGTAGGTCTTTCATTTCTGTTTCCATGATTTGCAGTTTTAATTTACTCATGGCTGAGCTTTATCAAAAGGAACATAACCCTTGATTATAAAACCTACTAAATCTTAAAAGAGTTTTAAAAAAATAAAACAAAACACCTCTCTACCATCTTGGGATGAATTGCCCTGCCCAGGAAATGGGTACTGATTCTTACAGAGTTACCAGAGCATCACTAATTGATGCAGTACTAGGCTTGGCATCATTACTGAGGAATACCAGACCAGGCAAGGCCAGCAAAAGTCTGCACTGTAAACATTTTGCAGAAGGAAAATTTGGGGAGTAGATCTGGCCTGTAGAAGGCATATTGACTGAATTTCAGTCAGCAGCACTAGCTTTCAGGAATACTCTGGTGCTTTGTAGCTTAGTGTTTCGTTAATCAAAGGTGCCTACCCTCCCTCACCCCATCCTATCCCCCAAATGAAAAGTATATACAAGGAGCTTTTTCCCTAGACCTGTGTAGATAGAACGCTTAAAATACAGAGACCTGCTCTTGGTAGATTTGATGGCTCTGCACTAGTCATTTGGTTTATGATGAAGCTGTGATACTACTATTTCCCAAGGTTGTTGACCCTACAGGGTAATGGTAAGGAACAGAACACTCTTTATAAAATGCCTAGTGTGCTGTCCAGGCTGCAGTCACCGCTGGCCACAAATGGGACTGGGTGGGGGTGAGCTTGGCCAGGCTCAGCTAACTAGCTGCTGAGGGAGTACCATGTGTGCTTTCCATGTGAGAGATTGTGTCAATTTTGGCTACTTAAGGACAACTCAGCTAGGCTGGAGAGGGAATACCATGCCTGGGAGTTCTTGGGGCTCCTCATTCGGCTCAGATCTCATTTTACTGAAAATGTAAGGCAGCCAAGATCTCTGAAGAGATGAGAGGGAGGGAGGGAAGGCAGGAGAGAGAGGGAGAGGGAGAAGGGGGAGAGAGAGAGGGGGAGAGGTGATTTTCCCGGTGCTAGCAAGAGCACCATTCCATCCTTACAAAAGCAGTTCACATCTGCAAGAATGAATGCTTAGCAGCACCAGGAGAGAATTTCCTGGTCCAAAAACAGCTGTCTGATTTAATTTACACAATGCATCCCACTTCCCTATACGTCAGCTTATTCATGATAATAACAGCAATGACAATTATAATTATGTGGTGCTTTCACATATATGACATAATATTGCACATATTTTAATTCATCTATTCTTAGAGTAACTTTATATATAAGGCAACCAGAGCCCACAGAGGGTCAGCCTGGAGGATTCACAGCCAGGTCTAACTGAGTCAAAATCCAGTATATCATTTATGTTTTGGTTCAAGGTTTCTTTTAAAAGTTGTTATTCAGTATATATTTTTTATGTTTTCAATTGAAAGACTAAATTGTGTTAAATGGATGTGAGTCATAGAGAGTTTGAAAGTGGAAATTAGAAATTAGTTTGAAAGAGCTAGAATTAAGGTTGCATTTGAGTGGTACATGACTGTCAATCAAACCGATGAGACTTATCCAAGTTTGCCCCCGCCCCCAATGCCTTATGATAAGCAACCCCTTAAGCCAAGAATGTGTCATACATTCTTTTCCTTATCTGAAAATTCAAATGGTTTCCCTTCAGCTTCTTTACACGTAGAAAGAGGATAATAGTACATACCCCACACATTTGTTATGTGGATGAGATGAGATAATGCATTCAGTGATTTTGGCACAGTGTCTGAGGCTAGCAATAGTGTGCTTGCAGTCATGTAAATATTTTTTTCCTACAAATCTGACATTGCACAGGTTTGTGAGGCCAAGATAGAACAGAGCCTTTAGTTTCCTTCCCTCCCACTTGTGTAAAAGCAAAAACAGAATCATCAGCAATCACATTTTATTGATTGAGTTTGAGCCCTCCTTTTAAGAAGGCCTTGGCTTAACAGCTTTGAAATGTCTCTTCATTTTGTTTCTCAGACAAATGAGACTGGCAGCCTTAGGTATGGGTGCTAGTCATGAGTGGCACTCCCTTTATCCCTGGGAGCCTGATATGAAGGTGGGGCTTGGAAAGTTGAATAGGTCACCTGGGAACAAGGTAGTGCTTATTACCCAGGGGAGCAGCAGAATTTTCCTCTTTCTGCTTGTAAATTATGACTCGGTATAGAACCCAACTTTCAAGGGCTTCCAAAATGGCGAACTGCAGATGTTGTCAATGTGACTTGAAATAGAACATTCCATTAAATGCAAAAAAGGGCCACGCCAAATAAGGAACACCCACCTGATGATGCTGTTAGCAATATGGCTTCTTTACATCGAGTTTCCCACGTGACGTCACCTAGCCCAGTCACTAACAGGTGCCATCATCATCGATGAGACTCTCTTGGCAGTGAGATGAGATGAGTCTTCCTGAGTAATAGAAGGTCCCTGGGGATGGCTTGCTATCCTAGGTCATCAGTGCCTAACATCTCAACTTTTCACCTTACATATTTGGGCCTGGGGTTTAAGTTAAGAAACGATCTAGGCACCATAAAAGTGTATGGCAGCACGCCATTGTAGAAACAGTATGGAAGTTAGAAGACTCTACTTGCTCATGAAGTCTTCCTTAATTATCTAGATGAATTTGGGTAATTCTCTTAGCCTCTTAGTATCT